ACATAATGAGGCCTATGTTGGATTTTTCTTCTGCAATGAAATAAAATGTCAAATTTAAGGGTTTTTAGTGTCTGAGTCTTTCATTAAACCCGACTGTGAACTGGTTCTGGTACCACCAGCAAGAAAGATGTTGGGCTTACCTCAGATGAGCATCCATAAATCTTATACAAAGATTTACTAAACATCCTCTGGTGTTAATAATGATGTTAATAGATGATGTTAATCAATGGTGATGTTAATAAACCCCAGTGCTAACGAAGCTCTGGAGATTGGCAGTGGCCTGACCTTGTAATGGTAATTTATTTACCCCCATAATTAATGCAGAATTCATGGACACCACTGCAGGAAGAAGAAAACACCTTGATTTTTTTATTTGGTGCGCATGTCAATGCGCATTTCAGTCAGGAAATCTCTGCTTTCCAGTGGAAGATCAAAAATGTAGTTTAATAATGGCAGGTTAATCCTGACTTAGTGCTCCAACAGCTGCTGCAAAGTTTACAAACCACTTCCCCCGTAAAACAACATTTGTCAAAGAGACCCAAAGAACAAAGATTAGAAATAGAATTGGATTAAGGTAAGATCTCTCACATTATTCTCTCTTGCAGCAGAGAGATTTTGCTGAACCCCCCCTTATCTCAGCCAGGGAGAGGTTGGAGAACCTTGGGCAGAAAATACCTGGGAGAGACACAGGAGTTTTATTCCAGACACCAGCTGGAAAAACCAGTAAAACCTGTATGAGCTCATGTGGGGGGAATGTCATTATTTTCACACACAGACAGGATTTTTTTTTCCTCTTTTTTTTTCTTTTTTTTTTTTTCCCTCCTCTTTGGTTTTTATTTTTAAGCAGAGTGAAACTCCAGCATAACCCAGGATGATCCTTGTTACCTACCCCTTCCCAATCCCCCCTCCAGCCTTTCCCCTGCACTGGATGGGCTGATTTGAGTCCAAACACACAAAACCCAAACTGGCCCTACCGGTTATTTAGAGAGAAAAATCATTTTTTTATGGAGAATACTGTTCCCTGTATTCTCCAGCTGGGAGAAAATCCCACTTGCTTCCATTGGATTTCCTTCAGGGCTATTTTTCAGCTGTGGGCTTGGAGGGGTTTTGTGCTGCAAAAACAAATCCCCTGCTCTCTCCTGGCTGGGCTGTTTGGCTTGGAGGAACCAACCAGCTCCATAAAATCCTCAGCCATCCCCAGCTTGGGGCCCAAACCCCAGCAGGGCTCTGCTCTCCCGTGGGGAATTCCGAGTGTCCCATCCAGCAGCAAAGAGTCCCAGCTATTTATTTCGGTTGGTTATAATTAATCCTGGAACCTTTTTTCAGGAAATAAATAAATAAATAAATAAATAAAGCAAGCCTATTTTCTGAGCTGTTTTTTTGCTGAAGTGCCTCACATGTTCTTTCTTAGAATCCCTTGGAATCATCTCCATGTGGGGATGAGGAGGGGTCTGACGGGTCCTCCAGGTGCCTTCCAACCCAAACCATTCCTTGAAAAT